GAGTTGAGAAAGCCGCGGCAGGGTTTGAGACGGTGGCTCCAAAGCCGGAAGAAGTCCCACTGTGGGCAAAATGCTGTCAAACTGCATCACATGCTGCAGAGAAGTTGTTCATAAAAGGAAGAGCCAGTCTATGTGGGAAACTTCCACGCTGCCTCATCTTAGGGAACAGCCACAGCCACCCCGACCTTCAGCTGACCCCATCCTGATCAGTCGGCAACCATCACAAATGAGGAAAGACTCTCCACCAGCAAAAAGGTTGTGAGCAGCTGAAAGCTCGGCTTGTGTAGCAATTTTTAGCAATGAAGTATTTTTAAATTGAGGCGTGTACATTTGACCCTCGAACAACGCAGGTTTGAACTGCGTGGGTACACATACACGTGGATTTTTTTTCAGCAAATCCAGCACTGTAAATGTATTTCCTGTCCTTTAAGGTTTTCTTAATAAATTTTCTCTCGGCTTATTTATTTAGTTTGAGACACAGGGGAGACACGGAGAAAGAAGGAGAGAGAGAATCCCAAGCAGGCTCCACGCTTAGTGCGGAGCCCGACGTGGGGCCTGATCTCACAACCATGGGACCTTGACATGAGCTGAAATTAAGAATTGGATGGAGCTAGGGGCACCTGGGTGGCTCAGTCGGGTGAGCGTCCAACTTCGGCTCAGGTCATGATCTCATGGTTCAGGAGTTCGAGCCCCGCATCGGGCGCTGTGCTGACAGCTCAGAGCCTGGAGCCTGCTTCGGATTCTGTGTCTCCCTCTCTCTCCGCCCCTCCCCCACTCGTGCTGTCTCCCTCTCTCTCTCTCAAATATAAATAAAAATATTTAAAAAAAAAGAGTTGGATGGAGCTTAACTGACTGAGCCATCCGGGTGTCCCTTAAGGACATTTTATTTTCTCTAGCTTACCTGATTGTAAGCATACAGTATATATTACACATAACATACAAAACACGTGTTCATTTATATGTTATCAGTAAGGCTTTTGGTCAGCGATAAGCTATCAGAGGTTCAGTTTTTAGGGGCTCAAAAGTTGTATGTAGATTTTTGACAGGAGGGAGGAGTCAGAGCCCCTAACTGCCGTGTAGTTCAAGGGTCAACTGTACATCATTGTTTTTCCACGTAATGCTATCGCACACCTACCGGACTACAGTATAGCGTGAATATGGCTTTTATGTGCATGGGGAAAACAAAAAATACACTTGACTCACTGTATTGTAATATTTGCTTTATTGTGTTGGTCTACAACCAAATCCACAGTTATCTCAGAGGTGTGCCTGTATCACGAATTACACTTTCAAGTCGCAGTGGTAGTTGTGCAACTGCATTCGCTGACTTTTGAAATATTTATACTAAGTGTATTACCCATCCTTTACTCGTTGTTTTATAAATATATGTGGCAATGTGTCCTATCTAATATTTTTCTAGTAGTTTTTCTTTTATATTCTCTGCGTCTTCCAATTTTATCATTCCTTATATTTTACATCTAGGTTCTACTATGCTAATGTGTCATAGATTCTTTTCCAGACAGTTTTATTCCTCTTTATTTTCAGTTTCCATTCCTTCATAACACTCCCTTTCCCAAAAGCTTCTAAGACATACTGTATCGTACCTAAGCCGTACTTTGCGGCACACTGGCCCAGACAACTATACAACACGCTGTTTGACCTTTCGACTTCGAAGTCCTTATCTGCGGTCAAGAAGAACACCAGAGAAAAAGTGAAGGTTTCTTTGGAATCAACAAGACCACAGCAGACCCCAGGATATCACCTATAGAAATTGTGCCACTCAAACTCCCTGAGGCCACAGTAACCATCTCACCTCATGAGGCTTTTGTAACCAGTAGGTCACTAGTCAAATGTAAATTGTCACTGCTTTCCATTATCGCAATTAGAACAGACAAGTACGTTTCTTAGACCACCTGGTTGCCTTCCTAGCACCAAGTGTCTGTCACTCAAGGTAACAGAGAAGAGCTACCCCGAAGGAGGGCCGCCTTACGGAGAGTGGTACTCAATGACCAGACATTTTATAATGACACATAGGAAGGCACAGAAAATCTCAGAGGCACTAGTGACTATCAACACAAAATCCCACACACATTCCAAGGAAGTTTCACAGTCTACTGACAACCATACTGACCACACTCAGCAACAATATATGTATTTACACACACAGGGTATGCTGGCAGCTTCCATATAGGTATGACAGTAACTTAAAGAAAGCAGGTGTCAGGGGCACCTGGGTGGCTCAGTTGGTTGAGCGCCTGACTCTTCATTTCAGCTCAGGTCATGATCTCACGGTCATGAGATCGAGCCCC